GTAGCCTGGCACACAGTGAACCCTCAGGAATCACTGGTGGAATGGACGGATGGACAGAGGGACAATTCTCCATTTGTATGGATGACGGTGACACCCATTGCGGGGAGGGGGAGATGATGATGTCTTTGGGTTTGGGCTAAAACAAATCTTTTCATCATGGCCCTGGAGGTGATGATATATTCTTCTGAACCCACATCTCCAATTGGAAGCCTTGGGACACCTCAGAGTCTTATTTTTAATGTATTTTTCTAAAGTTAGTAAAAATCAGGCATCTGTTCACATTTCAAAGTGCCCAGATTTCAAACATACCAGGTTTCTATGCTGTTGGCCTGGAGTTATGAACTCAGTGTGGTTTTATCTCTGTCTCACACAGACAATCATACCTTGAAAATTGTAGGTATCATCTCATTTAACCTTACACGAAGCGTGCATGTTAAGTCAGAGCATCTAATTTACAGACAAGGAGCCTGGGGGTCTCCAGGGGGTTTAGTATCAGAGGCAGAATGCCCACGCGGTACTCTGGCTGCTTGGCTCTGACTCTCCTCATGCAGAACTCCCTACCTTTCTGAGAACATTTTTTCTCTGATGTGCATTTCTGTCACATACAGAGATGGCACCTGTTTGGGACATTAATAGTTTTCTTTCCTTGATGAGCCAGTAAATAAGAGAGGCAAGGTGAGCACAGCCCAGACAGCCTGCTGATCTCTTAAGAAAATCTCAGTTTAATAAGGAGATGCACGATCCCCCAAAACCTATTTTGTGAAGCACAACTTCTGAGCCTCGGATGGCCCCAGACACCACCTCGTTCTTACCCTCACGCGTTGTACAACAGCACGCTGGGAAACCTCCCAAGCCCTCTATCCTAGACCTCACATTTTTCTAGTGTTGACAACTTAATACGTGTCCACACTTCCTTTTATGGGGAAAGATAAGCCCCTGATGGTAATCAGAGCACCCGGGTAGGAAATGCCACATTCCTCTGTGTAAATGTTTGACTGAGCTTTCTCCGGGCCAGGCTTCCCTGTGCCGAGCCCTAGAAGGTTCAGGTCCGCAGATCGGCAAGCGTGATAGCCAGCTAATGAATTATGAGAGGGCTGGTTTAAAGACGTGGTCAGAGCAGTGCATTCCAGGGTGGCCCTGCTCTCCATGACCACAGGCTGTTCTCAGAGGGCCAAGGACAGAGGCTGGGGCTCAACTGGGGTGGACAGCTGTCCTTCGGTCAACTCATTTCTAAGAAAGGGGGCCTGTCCCTGTGACATTAAAAAATAAGTAAATGCAACTATGTAGCTAATTTTATTTTTGGGGGGTGGGCGGGGGTTACAGGGAATTGAGCTCAGGAGCATTCGACCCTGAGCTACATCCCCAGCCCTGTTTTGTATTTTATTAGAGACAGGGTCTCACTGAGTTACGTAAGGCCTCACCATTGCTGAGGCTGGCTTTGAAGTTGCACTCCTCCTGCCTCAGCCTCCCAAACTTCTGGGATTACAAGAGTGTGCCATCAGTTTGTAGCTGATTTTCATATCTTTTTAGAAAGTGAGAAACCAGGAACAACCTTAAGGTCAATAAAGAATTCCGAACCCACAAACACAAGGGACAGAGAACATGATGACTACCAATGTTTACGGAGCTCTATCCCTGTGCCAGAAACTTCTGGAGGTTTTTTGTTTGTTTGTTTGTTTGTTTGTTTTCACATATTATCTTACCTCCCAGCATTCTCTTAGGCCCTCTTCAGGTACTTATTACCGCCTTTTACAACTGCAGAAACTGAGGCTGGGAGGATTGCATAATTCGCCCCTGGACTCGGGATAAGCAAGTATTGGATTAGAACCTACCTACGTGTCCACTATAAAGGATCCTGCGAAATGGACGTTTGTTAAGTTCAAAATATGTTCATGCATACGTTAGTAAATGGAAAATTCACTCGTGTGGATAGGGATTCCACTGTGTGACTGAACCTTTTTCAGTTAAAACAAAAGACAAAGAATCAGCTCACATACAAGATGGCCATGATGGAAAAACATAAAACGCACCCACGTCAGCGAGGACGTGTAGACAGTGGAACTGTTGGTGGGAATATGAAGGGGTGCTGCTCCTGTGGAAAACAGCATTCACATTTCCTCACACATGCTAAAGTAGAATTACCAGACGACCCAATACTTCCACTTCTCAGTAGACACTCAAAAAAATAGAAAGCAAAGTCTCAAAAATGTATTTGTAGTCCCACCAGCTATGGAAAACAGTATGGAGATTCCTCAGAAAACTGGGAATGGAACCACCATTTGACCCAGCTACCCCACTCCTTGGTTTAGACCCCAAGGACTTAAAGTCAGTATACTATAGTGACACAGCCACATCGATGTTTATAGCAGCTCAATTCACAATACCTAGATTATGAAAACACCCTAGGTGTCCCTCAATAGATGGATGGATAAAGAAAATGTGGTATATACACTCAATGGAATATTACTCAGCTTTAAAGAAGAGTAAAATTATGGTATTTGCCAGTAAATGGTTGGAGTTGGAGAATATCATACTAAGAGAAATAAGTCAATCCCACAAAACCAAAAGCCAATGTTTTCTCTAATATGAGGATGCTAATTCACAATAAGGTGAGGCGGGGGGGGCACTAGGGAAGAATAGCATTACATTAGATTAAGTAGAGGGAAGTGATGGGAAGGGAGGAGAGGAAATGTGAGGGTAGGAAAGATGGTAGAATGAAACAGACATTATTACTGTATGTGTATATGTGACTGCATGACCAATATGATTCTGCATGTACACTCAGAAAAAGGAGAAATTATATCCCCTCTATGTATGCATATCAAAGTTCATAAATGCATTCTACTGTCATGTATAACTAATTAAAACAAATAAAAAATCTCAAAAAAATGTATTTGTACACACATGCACAATACAACTATTTGCAACAACTATAATGTGAAGGACCCCAGCTGCCCATGGACAGATGAATGGATAAGCCAAATGTGATGTGTAATCCCAGTAGAACATTATTTAGCCTTCAAAAGGGAGGAGATTCTGACATTACCATCCACATGGATAAACTTTGAGAACATTAATGAAAATTGAAATAAGGCAGTCACAAAAAGACAAAGACTGTACATTCTTCTTATATGAGAGACCTAGAGGAAGCAAATTGAAAGAGACAAAGGTGTAATGGAGAAGCCAGGGCATGGGGGCAGAGAGAAAACTGTTACATCATGGACAGAGAGTTTCTGTTTTCAAGGTGGGAGAGTACCGGAGATTGATTGCCAACAAGGTGAGTGTCCTGGCAGGGCAGGGCAGGCCAGGAGAAGAGAGGAGAGATGGAATAGGAGAGGGAAGGAGTGGGGAGGGAGACAAAGAAGAGGAGGAAGAGAAAAATGTGGTTAGAACATGCATGGGAGAAGTTTTAAGAAGACACACACCAGTGAACTAGTGGCCACTTATATTGGGTCACAGTTTTATAAATATATTTACCTACTTTCTGTTTGCCTAAATTCTCTACTTTTTCTTACTTTCTTTCTTTCTTTTTTGTACTGGGATTGAACCTAGAGGCGCTGACCAATAAGCTAATTCCCAGCCCTTTAAAAAAATATTTTATTTAGAGTCTCACTGAGTTGCTTAAGGCCTCACTAAGCTGCTGAAGTTGGCTTTGAACACCAGACCCTCCTGCCTCGACCTCCTGAGCCACTGGGATCATGGGTGTGTGCCACTGTTGCCTGGAAATTTTCAACTTTTTCCATAAGGTATATGTATTGCATTTATAATAAGACTCTTTTAACTACCTGGGAGAATGAGGGAGGGAATGTTAGAGAGACTGAAAGCTGGAGGAGAGGGAAGGAGTCTATACAACCCTTGCACACAGGGAGAGCTGGGGCCACACCTTCTGCAGAGAGCCGTCTCACCCAGGCTGACTCTACCCACAGAGGAGGTCCTGTGGGAAGATGCTCTGCCTCTGTGGAAGAGGGACTCACAAAGAGCCCCAACAACCCAGAGTGGGGTCCTTGATCCACCGTAAGTAGAAGAACGACAGAGGAAGTCAGGATTGTACTTCTGAGTTGAGATAGGCATTGCCTGGGTGCCTTCTGCAAAGAGACTCTGGTACTATACCTGGCAAGAGACAGTGGGTGGGAGAGGCCCATTTCTGGCCCACTACCAATAAAGACAGATTTCAACTTCAGAACTCAAAAAAGCATTGGAAAAATTCTAGCCTAAATGTCTCATTTCACAGATGTACTTAAAGTACACATACAGGTGAAGTGACTTGTTTAGGGTGGCAGGTGTCAGGCACCAGATTACAACCCAGCTAGCCTGAGCATGTCTTCCTTACTGCCCATCCATCCATCCATCCTTCCATCCATTCATCCATCCACCCATCCACCCATTCACTCACCCATCCACCCACCTATCCATCCACCCACTCATCCATTCTTCCATCCATCCATCCATCCATCCATCCATCCATCCATCCATCCATCCATCTGTCCATCCACACACAGATACATCCATGGGTGGGTGTGTTTATTCTCTCCTACTTTGTTCATACTTACTGAACATCAAATATACCCAGGTTCTGAGGGCAGCACCCCCATCTTCCTACTTCCCCACAGTGCTCCAAAAAGAGGCTATTTGCACAGGGTGTGCCATGCCGTGGAAATGTCACATGCAAGCTGGGCTGCACCACATTTTCACTTCTCTTCATCATGGCCATTTGCATTAAGGCTCATCCTTGCTCCACTCTGCAATGATTACTTCAGAATAACCAAACACCACCCTGAGAGGGCCCTCATGGAGAGGGGATGCTACAGGAGCAGAGTCTGGGAGCCCTGGTTCCAAAGAAGGTTTTTAAAGTTAAGAATTTGCTTGTTTGAAGGACAAACTCTTCTTTTTGAGTCTTCATGTGGGAGTCATGGAGAGGGTCCAGCAGCCTTCCGCCAGTCACTGTGACATCGGTTAGAATGTCACAGACAGAGCTGTGTTCAAATTCTGGATCCACCACTTCCAGCCGGGTGACCCTTCAGAATTTTTCACCTCCCAGTGCCTCAGTTTCCTCCTTTTTTGAGACTCATAATTCCAGCATTGCATGCACAGCTGAAAGCCCAGCTCTTACCACAGAGCCTACAGAGCAGTGGATATTAAATAAACATGAACTCTCTTCTTCATCTGTATGCACTTTGTCCAATAAAAGGATGTTTAAATATTTCTCACCAGCTGGGAAACCCTCACCCTACACATCTCACCAAGACCAGTTTCTAAGGTCAAGGAACAAAGAACAATGAGGGCCAAGAGGTTTTATTTGATGGTTGGTTAGTTGGTGTGTTTTGAGGTGCTGGGGTTGGTTTTGTTGATTTATTTATTTATTTATTTATTTTAGAGAACATGAGCAGACATGCCAAAGATTGGGGGTGGCCTGGTCCTTCTGCATCGTGGACAGTTGGAGGCTGCTTGGGAGCCTCCCTCATGAATCATTCATCTGGGGTGTTGGCCACGGTTTGCCGCCGTGGCTTAGTTCCTCAGGGCCCAGGAGAGAGCCTGTTTTTAGATTAGGAAAAGGAAGTAGTTTAGCCAAGTTGAGCTTGTTTAGGACAGAAGATGGTGAACTGTACAGCCTGTGAGCCAGATTTTGTAAATAAAATTTTATTTGACTAAAATAAGCTGACTTCACCAAAAAAGAGAACAAATGAATGAAGTTGTAACATTGTTTCTTTTCCCTATTTTTGTAAACAGCCATTTATGGGAACACAGCCACACTCTCCTTTATGCACTGTTCTCAGCAACGCCAGAGAGGAGTGGTCAGAACAGAGACGACATGGCCTACGAAGCTGAAGACATTTACCGTCAGCCTCTGTGCAGACACAGTTCCTCAAGCTGCGGGTGACAGAGCATGGACTATTTTATCAAAATGCAATGGACGTGAGCCGTTGTCCTCTCCCGATCTCCAGCAGGAAGATGTGTCGCCTGCATGGACAGTGAAAGAAGGAGGTCCCCCCCACCCCCGTCCTGCAGCTCCAACCGTCGGGATCGCCTTTACCAAATCCCTGCCGCCCTCCTTTAGACCAGTGCTTGGTGTCAAGTTGCACAAAACCATAATGTGGTTGTCAAGTGGCAGGCGGTGGGGGAAACTTAGTTGGTTTTCCACTGGTAGATGTTAAATCCTAAACAAAGTAAAAAGGCCAATGACTCCGAGAGTCACCGTGTATCTGAGTGGTTAACCTGTGCTACTAAAATGACTCATCACCGTCCCTGACTTTACTACTGTTGGTTTCATTAGTTTCCGTCCCCGCTTGCTCTGCTCATGCTACCAGGGTTGCTGAACGCTCCTGATGTGTGCCCCCTGCCCGGCCTCTGGGTCCGCTCCCAGGCCCTCTTCCTTCCTTTCTGTCTTCATCTTTCTTTCTCTTTCTTTCTTTCTGAGCTTTGGCTTCTGCCAACAGCTGAAGAAACTGGAAGCTTCTGCTTTTACCCCAGAGTCTATGGACAGGACTTTTAAACCAATGACCTAGACAATAACAAGAATGGGGTGCTAAAAGACTGTCAGAACAGAGCGCTTAAGGCAGCCTGGCGCTTTGAAATCGGAATCAGGAGATAACAGGCTCTCGCGCACGTTTCGAGCAGAACAGTCTTAATATAAGGGATCCAATGTACACCTCTGGGCTGGGTTGGTGGGGAAATCTGAATGGGCTGGGATCCAGGAAGCCAAGCTGAAGGGCACAGTTCTCAAGGGGGTGGACCCAAGGAAGCTCCTGGTGACCTCTGTGACCCCATCACCTGCTCTGATAACTGCTGCTGGGAATAAAGATTTCTCTGCAGTCTCCAAAGGCAAATCTGGGGAATGTGGTCCCTGCATTCATTTCCCCTATGCAGGAACGATGTAGAAGAAGGGGTGGCATTGAGTCCATCGTCCAGTACAATGGGAGATCCAGGGAGACTTCCTGAAGAGGGTGATGCCACAGACCAGATTTTGCAAACTTGAGGTTGGCCAAGCCATGGACTTGGTCAATGATTCATCAAAAGAGTTTCCCTTTCTAGGCTGCAGGAACCTAAATAGGGAAGTGCAGCCTTCCTAAGAAGCTCATCTTATGCAACCCAGTGAAGAGGGAACCAGAAATAGCACATTTGCTCATTATTCCATCTCCAAAATGGATGAATGAGAGTAACCTTTCCTTCCTCGGGAAACAGGGATGAGTCGCAGTCACCGGAGCAAAGAGCAATAGCCCTTGTCACTGGGAATGTAAGTGGGGAAAGGGCTTTTTCTTCAATGTATGCCATAGGCACCTTGGAATTCTGCCAAGAGACTGTGCAAGGGTGGGTCTTCCTGCTGCCAACTGTGACATCTGCCGGGCGATGCAGAGGACAGAGGCTCCAGCACTCACCTGGGTACCATCATTCTCTCCATCAGACGGCCGCCATTCTCTCCACGTTCACACCAAAATCCTGCCAGGTAACCATCCCTTGGCAGCAGGTCATTCATCTTTCCCTCAAAGTTTAGATTGACGGGAACGTCTCTGGCCAGCAAGGTAAAGGTGGCGCGTTGATCGAGTTCCTAACATTCCTTTCTGCACCAGATGCTTTGTGCCCCTGATGTCCTAGAACCCTCTAAGAGACCTACGAGATAAGTCCATTACCCACGCTTTCCAGGTGAGGAAGCAGAATCCAAGCAAGGTAAACCACTATATCTGAGGTCACACACCTATGGCTCTGCTCCAAAGAAACGAGACACCCCTGGCCCCCCCTGCCACAAGCACACCCTAGATTTTACAGGGTGCCGCTCCTCCCCCAGGGTTGCTGGTTCACCACGAGACACCCCACCCCTCCTCCAGTGTAAGCAAACCCTGAAGCTAAAGGGTGCTCCTAGGTCCCACAGAGGTCATCGTCTTGCAGCTCTGTAAATCCATGAAGAACTTTGAATCCAGCCTGTGGGACATCTCTTCATCCCTTCTCCACCTCAAAAGACGGGAGACCCTGATGTTTCCCCATTGCCAGGGAAGGCCGCCTGGAGGGTTCCCACCCACCTCTGAGCCTCCCTCTGCCATCTTCCCATAGAAACGATTTTTAAAATAGAAAAACCAGGTATGGTGGTGCACACCTGTAATCCCAGCCACTCTGGAGGCTGAGGCTGGAGGATCATAAGTTCAAGGCCAGCCTGGGCAACTAAGTGAGACCCTGTCTCAAAATAAGGGATGTAGCTCAGCAGTAGAGTGCCTCTGGGTTCAATTTCCAACACCACAAAAAAAAATTTAAAAAAATAAAAATAAGACAGAGATGACTCCTTACTAAGTAAAACTCATATGAATTTTTAAATTTTCAGGTAAAATTCACTTTTAGTGTTATATTTCTATTTTTTTAAATCTTCTTCAACCCTCACTATTTCTTTTTTAGCCAAGTAAATACTTACCATGTTAGAAAAAGAGAAAATACAGGTACTGCTGAGGAAAAGTAGAACCTATAAGCACATTACAAAGATAAAAGCCACACATCCCCCGTGTGACAATGAGTTCGACTCATTCTATTTCTTCTCCACACCTCGTCTCTTGTATTTCCTTGTCTTTGTTACTAATTCTTTGAAGTTTTGGGATCCAGATTCTTGTTATGACATTTCTATTTTATGCATTATAAATACCTTCCTTCCTGAGTGCATTTCAGACTTTAATTCAGTTTTGTAGCCATAATAGTGACTTTAAGATTTATCTCCTCCTTAATGGTTCTCACTGCTTCCTGATAATCCCTCTAGGTAGAGGTCATCTAGCTCTGGGTTCTTGTATTTCACTACTTGGTTTGGAATCTGCCTTAAAGAAGAGAGATTCTGTTCTTAAGCCATGTGTTTTTCTTTTTCAAACTTTAAGGATGATGGCAAACTGTCTTTTTTTTTAAAAAAAAAAAAGCATTTAGTGTACCAGGACGAAGACTAAGGCTAGGCTAATTTTATGTTCAGAAATAGCCATTGTTTGGGATATCGATACTTTTTTTTTTTATTTATACATGACAGTGTAATGCATTACAATTCTTATTACACATTTAGAACACAATTTTTCATCTCTCTGGTTGTACACAAAGTACATTCACACCAATTTGATACTGATACATTTTTGTGGTGATCTCAGTTGAAACGTCCACCAGTCTCCGAAGAGGTGAGGGTCACCCTTGGTTTTCCTAAGTTGAGGTGAGCTGTCTGTCCCCTGTGAGCTCTCCTGCCCTCCAGCTCAGGAACACCTGCTTGTGTCACCTGGCTCCATGTTCTGGCCACTGCTTCTGGACTCTCCATCATTGTCACCCCTTGTCCCCTTCTGCTAAATTCTGGGACATTTCCTCACGGAGGCTCCCCACAGCAGTGACACACCTTCATGGGGCACAATGATGCCCTTCCTCGCTCTAACAGGGACTCGATTCCCTGTTAGACATGAGCAGCAGAGGTTCTTGACGCTTTGTTCCACCACCATTCTCAGCCTCCTGGCCTTTTTCCACCCCTCACTTCACCTTCGGATATTGTGCTTCCCTTTGAGAGGAATCAAGTCTCCATGCAGCTGTGAGAGTGCCGCGCAGCTGTCTGAACGGCCGTCTGTATTGGGAGACAAATGGCTTGGGGCATGGCTTTGTTTTATGGAAGTTATTCCTTTTTTCTTTTCTCTTTTCCATGATTTTTCCGCAACCCCTTGCTCCTGTTGCTGTTAGGATGCTGTTTGTCATGCTCCTCTTTGAAAAGAAAAGGCTGGTGTGTGAGCATTTGTGAACTCCAGAGACAGTGCTCTGCAGTGTGCCCTGCCCTCGGGGTCTCATTCTTTTCTCTAGTCCACAGTTTGTATTCACGGATTCCAGCCCAGTTCCCACCTGGGAGGCTCCTGCCTTCAGCCGGGCGGGCACCCTCTTCCTCCGCCCTCCGCAGCCCTCCGCCTGGTTTCTGGTACTTAGAGACGCTGCAAGGCAGGAGCAGCATGGTCCCAGGCACACTAGGAAGCTCAGACTTCACCCTTGGAGGTAACCTTCAGAGCTCTGTCAGGGTCACTCACCCCACTGTGGCCTCTGCGAGGTCCTCCTGCCTTCTGCCCTGCAATTTGCTGCTATTCCCAGAATCCACCTGGATTGGGAGAGGAGAGCACCTGCCAGGGAGAAAGAATGTTCCAGAGAACAGCACATGAGCAGGGGGAGGAAACAGCCGCTCCTTTCCAGTTGACCCAGGGCCTGGGACTGCATCTGAGTGTGTGTGTGTGGGGGGGGCGGGTTAAAGGACCTGCTGCGCGTTAGGGAGTGTGCTCTCTGCAGAGTGTGTCCAGGCCCAGGAAGGAGGCAGGACCTCCTCAGTCCAGGTCCATCTATTTTGTCAGAGTCTGTCACAAGGTTGTGCCACCAGCTGTATCTTTCCACCTTGTTCAGAGTCTTTAACAGAAATCCTTCGGATGACTCAGCTTTGGAGGCACCAGCCATTCTGCACCAGAAGGCAGTGAGCCGCTTTCTCTGCACTCATCCAGCTTCCAAGCAGCTGTTATTTTAAAGGGTCAAAAAGAAGATAGCCAAAGTACTGAAACCATGGTGACCTGTCCCTCTCTCTCCTTCCCACTCTGGTCAAAAACTTGTTTACAGAGCAAGAGACCAAAGGTGTGAAAGTATTATTAATAATTTTAGTAAATCCTCTTTGCAGAATCCTCCAAAGTGCCAGTTCAGTTTTCACTCAACACTTTAGCTTTGACAGAGTGTCCCAGAAGCGGCAGGCTCTCTACCACTCATCTGAGGACCCCGGACCAGGTCTGTGAAGTCCCGATTCTCAGGGGCAGTCATGCAGCTTACTACAGAAGACAACGGCAAGCCAAGAGAAAAACAAGTTCGAAAAGAAACTAACACGGGCAAAGTACATTCATATTAAGAGGAGCATGAAAGTTACCTTTGAAGGCTCAGGACTCCCCAGGTTCAAATCCCCCCTCTGCCACCTGCTAACTATACATATTTAAGCAGTCTTTTTTAACCTTCCTGTGGTATATTTCCTCATCTCTAAAATGGGATAGTAAGAGGATGGAACTCGTAGAGTTGCTGGAAACACTCATGAACTAACATCTTCAAAGAGCTTTAAGAGCTGTGATTCCCAGAATCTGTCTGGACTGGGGGAAATGGCAGAAGAGCTCAATTCCTGGAGCTGCTGATTTGCCGACAGCGTGGAGACGCCCTTCAAGCTTATTGTTGCTAGGCCTTCCATCCCACTGAGTCCTTCTC